GTGTGTGTGTGTGTGTGTGTGTGTGTGTGTGTGTGAGGAACATTAACATTGACACGTATTAATATTATTAAAACACAGTAATATTACAATTATATCTATGAATATATATATATATAATGTCCAAAAAACATTTGACGATTTATAATATTCTTTAAATTTCACGACACCTTTGGACCTGATTGTTTGTGGTGAAATCGACGTATTTCATTTGAGATGAAGCTGATGATACTTATTTGAAGTTAATCATTTACAGTAAAGTGACCGTTTTTATCAATTATATTTAAGGAAAAAGATGATACGATAGCAGTGATGGAAAAAATGAGGCTCTGTGTTGTACGAAATAAAGAAACTGAAGAACCAATTGTCAACAACGGTTATATTTGTTCATTCAAAAATCTCATCGTTCGTACCGTACTCCTCGATGAAATAATGAAAAATCCTGAAACACCGCATATATCATTCATTATTGATGTCGAAATTAAAGTAATCTAATAGCTAATACCTACTTTTATCATTTATGAAATAAAGAATTGAAGATGAAATTAAATTGTTTAATTATGGAACTTTTCATTTGGAAGAAAGAAATAACATTGTCTGATAATTTTGTTCAAAAGAAATTTGAATTTTAAAAAAATAAGCATCTGCCGGATTTTGTTTTCAGTTGCTTCGAAATGTGAAAAATCTCTTAGAGAAGATGAAAATTCAAGAAGCAACAGAGTTTATCGAAAAAAACAATCATCCTAAACTATGGGCATTACTAGCTGAGGTAGCATTAAACCGTCTCGATACAGCTCTTGCAGAACATGCATTCGTCATGTTGAAAGATTATGCCGGAATACAACTTATCAAACGGATCAATGCTTTAAAGGTATAAATATTACATTATAATTATCACACAAATTTGATCCATGATTGCTATTTTATCTTTCCTAAACATTATCATTTATCACATTAGTTGCTCTAGAAGACAGTAGTTGTTGAAAAAGTTTTAATATTATGTAAATGTTCTCAGCATGATGGCTTCAAAAAAGCTGAAGTAGCAACATTTTATGGATATATCGATGAGGCGGAAAAAATTTACATGGAAAATGATCGACGTGATTTAGCAATTGAACTTAGGGAAAAAATGAATGATTGGTTTCGAATTGTGGAAATTTTACAAAAAAGTAGACAACCGGGTGACGATGAATTATTAAAGAAGGCATGGAATCATGTTGGTGATTATTATGCTGAACGACAGAAATGGTATGATAATGATCATGATAAAATTTTCTTGGGTTTAATTAGATTTAACAGATTGTATTACACTGTTCATGACATTTACTAATTAAACTTAACCTTTGCTTTTTTAACTAACAGTACTTGATATCCTGATAGGTTTTTAGCTTCTTGATACACTGATCTCCAACATGATAGAAAATAGTTCATTTTGTTGGATGACAAATTAAAAATGAAAAATTCATTTTGGGAAACAAGCGGAAAGTTATTATGAAAAAGGAGAAAATCATAAGCAATTAATTCGATGCTATCTAATGGATGAAAATTATGATAATATGGAATTGTTGGCAAAACGTTTGTCCGATGGAGACAAACTAATCGCGGTAAATTTTTGCTACCATCTGTTTCAATCTACAATTTCTACGTATGTGATGCAATAACTATCGTATAATTTTTTAATTAACAATCAGAAAAATGCTCATTACTTTTCTTTTTGTGAAGTTTTCAATATTTGATAGCGAAAAGCATGGAAAAATAAATTGATCAAATGCAAATAAAATATGAAAAAGATAATTGGAGAGAAATTATGTTCCTATTTTTTTATATCATTGTTACAGTTAGTGATAATGTAAATTAAAAATTTTTTTGCTGCAGGAAATTGGTGAAATTTTCGTTAATGCTGGTTTATGTGAACAAGCGGTACAATGTTTTGTAAGGGTATGAATGTAAATGATTTAATTTTTTTTTACGCCAATTAATTTTCTTGTTCAATTGCTGAAATTATTGATTGCACTTAATGCTATCTGATAATATTTAAAATTTAACAATTTCTGAAAAATATAACAAAATCTGTGCGTAACCGTACATTCTTTTTCCTCTTCTTTGTGCCTACGAAAATAATGTTGTATTACCAAAAATAATATGAGATGACGATTAGTTTCAAACATATTTTTTTTCAAACATTTACCAAAATAATATGAGATGACGATGTCAAGAATTTTGAAACTTAACATTAGTTTCAAAATTCTTGACACAAAATAAATTAAACTACGAATCTTTTTCTGTAACTGAATACTATCCAAAAGATAAAAGAGACAATTATACAATCCTCGAGAGTGACAACTTTCATGCACAGATGTGAAAACAAAATGATGTAAATAACCTGAAATATCATTTATACGATGTGGAATTAAATACATTCATTTATTCAGTGTGGTATGCTAAATGAAGCATTAGATGCTTGCATACAATTGAATCAATGGGAACAAGCGGTCCAATTATCCAAAACGTATAATCTACGTGATGTCCACTTACTACTTAATCGCTATGCTGAACAACTGACAGGTGTTGAGAGTTATTTCTTGATTACTTTTCATTGCATTCATTTCTACATATATTACTTCTTTCTGCAACGAAGATTCTGTATAATTTTCGATTTATCAAAAATGACAATATTATCTCCGATTAATATAAGCCATTGAGAAATAAGTGATATTACCGATATATTTCATACAATGTAATTAAAAAAGTTTCGTAAGAATTATTTAAACTTGGAATAACAACAAATATATATGATAAAAATATAATCAATATTGCTCTATCTGAGTTAATGTTCATAGTCGTAATAATTTTAACAATAATAATAATTAATAATATAGCGATAATGATGGTAATATTGACAGCAACAATGGAATAAAAATAATTATTATTAATGATAATATTAATAATAATAGTAGTGATGGCAACAATAATAATGTTAGCAGCAATAATAGTGATAATAATAGTAACAATAACGATAATAACAATAATAGTGATGATTAATAATGATAGTAACAACATGCTAATGACGACGATGATAATAATATTAATAATAGTGGGTGGCAGTAATAATAATGATAATAATTGTAACA